ACAGGGTGTATAGTTGTTTTGTACTTGGGCGATACCAGGGGCTGATACTTGGTGTACGAATACGTTGTGTTGCTAAGATCTGCCGATATTTACCGCTGATACATTGGGTATATCTTGGTGTACGATGGCGTATGGCTCGATATGTCGGAGGTATAGCAGGGGGTATACTTGTTGTAGCTTGGGTGACTAGGGCGTAATACTTGGTGTAGCGATACTTGTGTTAAATGCTGAGACGATATTTCCCGCTGACTACATTGGGTATACTTGGTGTACATGGCGTATGCTCGATATGTAGGAGGTATATCAGGGTGTATAGCTTGTTGTAAGCTTGGTGCACAGGGCGTATACTGGTGTACGATACTTGGTGTCTAAATCTGACGATATTTTCACCGCTGATACATTGGTAAATACTTGGTGTACATGGCGGTATGCTCGATATGTATGGAGGGTATTACAGGGTGTATACTTGTTGTAGCTTGGTGCACAGGGCGGTAGTACGTTGGTGTAGCGAGTGATCTGTTTGTTTAACATCGGAGATAGGTATGTCACCGCTGATACCCTTGGGTATGAGCGTTCTAGGTGATATGCACTTAATGGCGTATATGAATTACGTACTCATGTAATGGATTGTATTATCCAGGATTAGTTTTTGATTGATTGCTAGAATGTTCAAGGGTAGCTTGCGTAGCGGCCTGAAGGTCTCTAGTGCGCGTGATAAACTTTGAGATTCACGATCTTGAGATGTCCCTATTTGTGAGATCGCTATCATATACCTAGAGTGGGTGATTTACGTGTACTTATTTTCTTGTTTTGCGTGTGTCGGGTATTTGTGGCGAAATATGTTGTCGTATGTTGAGTATGATTGCATAGGATATATATACTGAGTTGAGCTCGATACTTGTTGTAACTTGGTGGCACAGGGCGCTCATCGTGACATCTGGATGGTGGAGCGGAGGGATTTAATTGCTTAGGTGCGTAAAGTGCTGTAACCAGTATATAATATAGTCACGGGTAGCCTATGAGGATATCGCTTGTTGGAGTGAATCACTTGTGGTGCGTATCATGGGCGTTAAGTACATTGCATGCGTATTGATATGGGGGTTGTTATACATTAGAGACGCAGGGGTGTTATCTCTGCTTCTTGCGACTTTGGTGGGTCCAGCAGGAGCGTATACTTGTGATACGATAACTTGGCTGATCTAAATCTCAGACGGAACTAGCTCTGTTACCGGCTGAAATAACATTGGATATACTTAGGTGTACTATGGCGTATGCTCTGATATGTAGGAGGTTCCAGGGTGTATACTTGTGTCCTTGGTGGCAGCAGGCGTATACTTGGTGTACGATAGCTTGGACTGTCTAACATACTGGACGAGATGTGCAAACTCACAGTCACAGGACTGCATACGACTCTCCGGGTCATCACTGTAGCTACCATAGGCGTATGCCTCGCCGATATGTAGGCGTATCAGGACAGCTCTATACACTCTGCTTTTACACTCTGGATGCAAGCGCGAGTATACTTGGTGTACGATACTCATGGTGATCTAATCTGACGATATTCTACGACTCTGATACATCTAGAGTATACACTTGGTGTACATGGCGACTCACTCAGGCACGCAGCGCGGCGGCTCGCTCGCGCTGCGGCACGCACGAGTGTGTGGTGTGCACGCACGCACGCACGCCTAATACACACACACATACACAACAAAACACGCGACGGCGTGTATCGCCTATGAACAACGACGTACTGCTTATCACACATCGTGCGTGCGTGAGTGAGTGGGTGAGTGCGTCTGTGCGTGTGTGAGTGAGTACGTGCGTGCTTCTGTACGTGCGTCATGCGAGTGGCGTGCGTGCGTCTGTGTGGTGCGTCCAGTGAGTGTGTGCGTGCATCTCTGTGCGTGAGTGAGTACGTGCGTGCCTCTGTGGCGTGCGTTAGTGCGTGGGCGTGGTGAGTGGCTTGCAGTGTGTACGCAAGTGCGTAAGTGTGTGGCGTGGGTGAGTGCGTGGCATGAAATGTATCGCGTGGCGCGTGAGTAAGTGCGTGCGCTCGTGCGCTCGTGGCGTGCGTGAGTGATTGTGTGTGTGTGTGTGTGTGAGAGAGTGCGTGCGCGCGCGCGAGTGAGTGCGTGAGTGAGTGAGTGATGAGTGGAGTGAGTGAGTGAGTGAGTGAGTGACGTGAGTGAGTGAGTGAGTGAGTGAGTGAGTGAGTGAGTGAGTGAGTGAGTGACTTAGTGAGTGATTTTGTGCTTGGGTGTGAGAGTGCGTGCGTGCATCAGTGACGTGCGTGAGTGGGCGTGCGCTGCGTGGAGTGAGTGAGTGCGTGCCTGCGTGCAGTGAGTGAGTGAGTGAGTGCGTGCGTGCCGTGAGTGAATGCGTGCATGAGTGAGTGGGCGTGCGTGCGTGAGTGCGTGGCGTGCGTGCGTGAGTGAGTGAGCTAAAATTGCCTCCTGAGTGTCGTGTCGTGTGTGTGTGTGTGTGTGTGTGTGTGTGTGTGTGTGTGTGTGTGTGTGTGTGTGTGTGTGTGTGTGTGTGTGTGTATGTGTGTGTGTGCGCGCGCGCGCGTATGGGGGGGGGGGGGCTGTGTGTCTGTATGTTTGCACGCGTGTGTGTGTATGTTTGCACGCGTGCGTGTGTATGTATGCACGCGTGCGTGTGTGATGTGGTCGACAAGTCATGAGGACACGCGCCTATGTATAATCTAATAATCTATGAGTATGTATCGGGTCTTACAATCACGTACCTCATGTATAGGCCCTACTGGTACTGCATCGATTCGAGTGGTCATATAAATTATGAATAACTACTATTGCACAGTTTGCACAACCATGAACAAGAAAAAGAGCCATCTTAGATGATGGTCAAGGTTTCTATAGAGTTACTGTATGAAACCTTGTATGATTGATAATGAAATATTGACATCAAATCGATCTGACTATTATCGTAATGCATTTGGACCAGGGCGCGCAGTGGAAGCGGTGTCGCATAAAACCTTGAATACTTACACGTCGTTCAAAAATCTTTATATTAAAATAAATACTAAGACAGCTTTATTAAAATATACGCATAAAAGTTGATAGCGTTATGTTTTAAAGCTTTGAATAAAAGCTAATGAAAACTGTATTAGTAGAAAACAGCCGTTTAGTGGTAGAAACGCATGCGCAATGTAAAATGTTCGGTAATGTTTATTTTCTATGACATTGATTCGTTAAGCGAAAGGTGTATGTATTGTATTTTGGTTGAGGAAGTAGTTTTCTACCGATGTACGTGTTTTTAACAGTCTACACGCAGTGACAGTTAGTTTAGTTAGATGGTCAGTATATAATTAGCAATATCAGGAGACAATTTTAGCAGCTGAGAGGTAGGCATTTCAGAGTGACGTACGTGCTACTACTACTGTTCATAGGGTCTATGTCTCCCAGGGTACTGCCGGAACGTACCCTGGTCACTATTTCATTTGATATGGTTAGGAGTAGGCGTAGGCGACTCCCTAGACTCGTTAGTGGAGTAGGCGAGGTACGGTCCGGCATATTAATTATTATTATTATTAGATAGTACCAGGATGAGGATACGTTCCGGCAGTACCCTGGGGGACATAGACTCTCTCAGCAGTACTAGTAGCGACACTGTGACTGTGCTGACCGCCGCCTCGTCTTTTTTTGATAATCTGACGCTATTCTTATTTCTAGGGCCCGACAACCTCACATAGATAAATGTGACGAACTTTTAAACGACAACTTTGTCTCTGTTTTTGACCATTTATCATAGAAAATATACACAGATAAAGTTTTTAGCATCTTGCCTAGACATTTAGTCAATATGATTAGGCCTACATCATAAAATACCTGCCATGCATTCTCAGTTTCTGAAATACATTTTATTACCTTTTATTTTGTAAAAAATTTCATGACACCAAATGCTGGTGTAGCACCTTTGCTCCGTGTCACACTAATCTGGGGTGCTAAACTAGGCTTGTGTTACCTTTTATTGTGTTGTTGGGGGCACTATGCTGTCATAGTGTTGCTTTGGGAAGGAATATAGTGCCCTCGCTACCGCTCGGGCACTATACCTTCCCTCAGCAACACTATGAGAGCATAGTGCCCCCAACAACAGGCATTAATATATAAATAGCTTACCTTAGCGCTAATGCGGCCAAATTGTAACATTCAACCAAAGTATGGGTGTAGGTGCAGCTAATTTATTATCAACACACATGATGGCTTATTAGAGGTGAATTAACTCGGTGCTAGTAATACTGGTAGCTGCACAGAGGAGAGTGTTGATGTTGTTATTTTGCATTATGGTAAGTTAGGTGCCAATAAATTCCTCCTGATATAATAGTGCAATTAAATAGTAGGCTCATTATTGAAAATTTCCAATAGTTGATGAATAACGTTTTCTATTCTATTTCAGATCCAGATGATTATGGCAAGTGTGTTCGCAGAGATAGCAGAGAGCACGCAGATGGCACGGGAGTATGCGTTGCTAGGCAACTATGACACTGCTGCCATATATTACCAGAGTGTTGTCACGCAGATCCAGAAATTGCTAACAACAATTCGAGATTCTGTTAGAAAGCAAGAGTGGACTGAGGTAAATGATGATACTATTACTATAGCCACCTCAATTCAGATGGCTAGCCATTAGATATACTGATAGTGATAGTTAGTTAACTTATTTTGGACTAGCGCTTATTTAGCCGGGATAGCAGGTACACTTTGCAACACTTTAGTCCGGCCTGGCGTGGATTAGTTTGATGTAGGATCACACAGGGTACGGGTAACGGGGGTATTAATACTAATGTGTGCAGTCATGGCATATATTTATTCACGCACTGCTGATCCTCTACACTGCGTTGGCACAGTTGAATCCAGCATTATATATATCTATTATTCCTGTTTCCCACTGCATTTGTTGAGGTTTGTATACTGATTTTGCCACACCCACTATAAAAAGTGCCTTACATGGTTTTTGCCGTGGCATAACCAATTGGACATAAGTTCAAGATTGTCACCAACAGTCATACCTATAGTTCTTGTATCTTTGTTCAAGCGTGATCGTGTACGAGTGTTTCGTTTCCTTAATGTTATACGACCCCATTTTTTGTCTTTCCAGATCCAGAACAAGGTTATTATCGAGCTGCAGTATGTCAAGGACATCCAGACGACCTTGCAGAGTTTCTTCCGCAGCGACGATCCGATCAACTACGACGCCCGCTCGGCCATGGCCGGAATGTCGTCGGCCGTCTGCGGGGACCAGAAGGCATTTGAGGTGCCAACCAGGGACCCTGACGTTTGGCCACCACCCACACCAGCTGAGCATAGGTAGGGTCCGTTGTCGTACTATGAAAGGTATCACAATCTGACAATAGAAAGCTGTACGATGTTTTCCGATACATAGTGGTGCCGATCGAACAGTGCCACCTGGTGGCATACAACAATACCCCCTGTCCGTTGAAGTGATGTGTCAAGCATGTCATGCGTAGGGCATACAACAACACCTCCTGGCCGTTAAACAGATATGTCAAGCATGTTGTTTGTGATTCAATTTCAGTTGCGTGCAGTACTTATGGTATACATCACCATACAAGTTTTAAACTCCACTAGGCGAGCCGTCAACGGTGGTCTCCGCACGATTTATCACGATCAATCACGATCACGATAATCACGATTTATCACGATTTATCACGATAAATCACGATCACGATTTATCACGATTTATCATGATAAATCACGATCACGATAATCATGATTTATCACGATTTATCACGATAAATCACGATCACGTCTGCTGTCAATTTCAGGCCAACGCCCGCGGTGAGGTCGCGACCTCCGGCTAGGAAGCCCGACACGTCGTCGTCGAGGAGCAAGCCGGCGCGATCGCGTGACGAGAAGGGCAAGAAGGACGCGCCCTCCTCGAAGGGACCTCGCTTCTCGAGGGAGAAGGCTCCGGCGAAGAAGGTGACTGCCGTCGATCTAACATCCGGGGAAACGATGAGCACCCGGAAGAGTTTCGTCGAGTTTGTCATCGATATTGTTTGCCGACGTTAAAACAAATTAAATTTCACCCACGAGTGTAACATAGGATGTCGGTCGGCCATGTCTGTATTAGACTCGTTGTGAACCACTCACGGTTGTAGGATTGTGCTGGCGGTGAAATGGTAAACTGATAGCACTCATGATGACAGATGGAAAGAATACCTAAAGATTTATATCGGAATAAGCATTCATCGTGTGTTTTAAGCATTATATCGGAAACATTAGCACATGCTAAACTTGCACTATAGCTGTGCTTCTGTGCAATTTTCAGAAGAGCGATAAACAGGAGAAGGACATTAAAGAGGAAGATAAGAAGGGAGGAGAAGTGGATGAGGAGGAGAAACGTTTTGACGGGTCTGCTTATGAAAAGGATCTTGTCGAAAGTTTAGAGAGAGACATTCTGCAAAAGAACCCCAATGTGCACTGGTAAGCTCGCTGCAAAAGATAGCCAAGGTACTGGTGAATAAAGAATGGCTAAACTGGATTTTGAATAAATCGTTAACCTAGAATCACAATTTGTGGTCAGAATTGGGTTTGAATTGTATGGACAATTTACAGTGTTTCTAAGTATGGATCAAAGAAACGGTCACCCATCGTGTGTATTGAAGTTAGTTTCGTAGCATCTACCTTTGGTGGGAATACTACTCGGCTAAATTCCATGCAGTCTGTGTTCAAGCACTACATCAGGGTTAGAAATTAGGGGAAGCAAGAAGCATTTTTGCAGCCTACAAGGGTCAGTTAGCTGTTTGCTTACTTGCTGCAAAAGAAATTTTTAATAAACTATAAAAGCACCAAACATTCTGCCTGGGTGAGTAAGTGTGCTGCCGGCCTCTTGCTATGGAAGCAAGTTCTTCTGCCTGGCAAAAAGGTGAATTTCGAACCCTGTACATACTTCTGTATTCAGATAAAAATTGCCGATACTATTCTATAGGCTTCCCGCTCCCACCAGCAATCGTGACATGGGTTGGAATGTTGAATTTCCCTGCAGGTCCGACATTGCTGATCTCACAGAAGCCAAGAAGTTGTTGGAAGAAGCTGTCGTGCTTCCTCTCTGGATGCCAGAGTTCTTCAAAGGAATCAGACGACCTTGGAAGGTGGGTAGTTACATCCGTACAGTCACAGCTACACCCCCCCCCCACCCATTGTTGTACCAACTTTTCAAGGCAAAATATGGGGTGCGACTTATACACGAGGAAACACGTATTTCATTTTGAGGCATTGACCAAATAGTTTATATGTCGGTGGGCAGTTGTAGGTCTGTTCTTGGGAGATGTGTGGCCGTCTGGTGTGCAGGCTAGAGATTGTGTATAGAATAGTGCAGCATGTCGCACAGTCGCAGTAAAGCAATATTGGTTGACGACAGACCCCAAGCTGTTGTAATTCTTCATTCATCAATCAGCAACTTGTTTATGTGAATAATTGTCCCGTGACTCTTTATTTCGTGTGGGAAATGATTTTTGTGACGTTTTCTCTTAATTTTTGTTATCGCCATCAATAAAAGCCAAAATTGTTTTCATCAAATTTGATCCTGTTCTGCCACCAGGGTGTGCTGATGGTTGGACCACCTGGGACAGGTAAGACACTGTTGGCAAAGGCTGTTGCGACGGAGTGTGGAACGACATTTTTCAATGTGTCCTCTTCTACCTTGACCTCCAAGTACCGTGGAGATTCGGAAAAGCTTGTGCGTCTGCTGTTTGAGATGGTGCGTACTCGCGTCCGGGTAACGGTATACCGCCAACTCTTCACAGTGCCATCTGTAGCATTCTTTTGTACCAAAGTTCACTAGCTGTATTTAAAAAAAATATTTATCTGCTATAATTGAATGTTTCCTGTTTATTAACCTGTAAATGCACTCGTGATATCTGTAATTTTTTGCAGGCAAAAGTAGCAGTTTGCAAAAATCCAAATCAGATGTACTTCTAGCAAGTTTAAAGTAATGTCCTCTGATTACATTTCATGTTTTATATACGTTTTGTTGTGATGTCACTGTATCTTCAGTAATTAATGCCAATCCTTGTTAGTGTCAATGATGTCATTGTGATGTAATTACCAGGGTTCTCTGTGATGTCACAGTGACATCATCATTCAGTGGGTAATATAGATTTTGTGTGTTTGCAGGCGAGGTTTTATGCTCCCAGCACCATCTTCATTGATGAGATAGACTCGATATGTTCCAAGCGGGGGAGTGATCATGAACATGAAGCAAGTAGACGAGTCAAGTCTGAGCTGCTTGTTCAGATGGACGGTATGTAACCACATATAGCACCTTTACAACAGAGAAATAGAAACGCAGGGTGCTACCAGCACCTCACTCATTTGACTAAAAATGAAATTATTTGGGTTCGTGTGGTGATAATCAGATCTATATTTTTATCTATTTAGAGATGGGTATTAGCCTTGGGTTTAGCCACTGACCAACAGAAACTGTAGTAATAGTCCTGAATCGGGTGTTCTGAATCAAATCAAATATTATTTCCCAATGACATCTGCTAACATCACCGATCAAGCCAGGTTTGATGATCAGATTGTCTAGGTATGACTGATAACCAAGCGAACCAAAATTAATATGGCTAGTCGGCATAGATTTGATTGATGAGCCTTATTTATTATATTAGGCCATTGGGCTGTCTATAGTTATAGTTATAGTTATAGTTATCGGGCTGTCTATAGTTATCGTACATTTAAGATGGAAAATTAAACAAAAGCGACATTGCACCTTTCATCATCTATCAGATTTTTCCTCCATGAAAAAGACTGTCTTCATGCAGTATATGTATTTGTATTTGAATTACATACAATAAAGATTTAATAATAATAATAATGTTGCAGGTGTGGATGGCACTACGGGACAAGAGGACTCTAGCCTAGTGATGGTGCTAGCAGCTACCAACTTCCCTTGGGACTTGGACGAAGCGTTGAGACGTCGTCTGGAGAAGAGAATCTACATTGCGCTTCCTGGAAGTAAGTGGGTGATGACGACGCCACGCATCTACTGTGTATCATGAGTTATTGTGATTACTTATGTTTATTGCTATTTACTGAAAAATGGCAACACCAAGCGTCTGTGCGTTAAGAGTGGTTATGATTCCCTGCATCTATTGATATTTATGGGAAAATGGCAACAACTAGCATTTGTGCATCAAGAGTGATTGTGATTCCCTGCATCTATTGATATATTTATGGGAAAACGGCAACAACTATAGCATTTGTGCATCAAGAGTGATTGTGATTCCCTGTATCTATTGATATATTTATGGGAAAACGGCAACAACTATAGCATTTGTGCATCAAGAGTGATTGTGATTCCCTGCATCTATTGATATATTTATGGGAAAACGGCAACAACTAGCATTTGTGTGGACGTATCAAGAGTGATTGTGATTCCTTGTGTTTACTAATATTTACTAAAAATAGATACTATAGTAGGTGGGATACCAAACTAATAGCACCCTTTTGCCACTGTGCCAAAGATGTTTCTCTAACTTTACCAGTGAAAAGCCCATAGAGAGCACTTTGTAGTTATGCCAGCATAGTTAATTATAACTGGTATTGCATCTGCACATGGTGTCATATAGTCTTGACTCATTCTCCCAGTTCACAAACCTGATTATCGATCCTAAACAAATGCAATACGCTATAAATAAAAAATGAATGTTGCCCTCATAAAAGGGGGCTTATGTCGGGTTTCCGAGCCGACTCGACTGGAAGCAACTGGCTGCAATTCACTGCGACTGCAGTGCTTAGGCCGGTCGACTGCGACGCGACTGCCTGGGACTGGCCGCCACTAGTTGCTCGGAATAGAACAGTGCATGGGCAACTGGACGCAACTAGTCGCTGCCGATCGCCTCCAGTTGCTCGAAATCCAGTTGCTTCCAGTTGAAGCCCGACAAGCCCGGGCCCCCTTAAGGGACAACACACAGATGGAGGTGTTATGTGCTGTACTTAAATTTTTGCTACTGCTGTTGTGGTTAGTTGTTGCACATGATGTCAATAGAAGATGAGTGCTAATCTCTGAACTGTTGCTTGGCAGAGGAAGGCAGAGAGCAACTGCTGAACATTAACCTGCGGGAAGTGAAGATGTGTGCTGATGTAGAGCTCCCAATCATCGCTGATAAGCTGGAGGGCTACTCTGGTGCCGATATCACCAACGTTTGCAGGTGCTGCCACCTATAGCGACACAAAATATAACCTTTACGTTTTCAGTGAAAAAAGCTGACAGTCGCTGTTATAGTGGAAATGTTAGCAGACATTATAGTTATGTAAATGGCGTGCATATGCATACCTGCAAGAACTAAGCACAATCTCTATAACAATAATATATACATACGTAATACTCCCTGATTAGTGTATAATCTTTCTAGGAAATATCGTATGATGTTTAATGTGAAAAGGGTAATTGTTTCACGTTGCTCCCACTCAGCGTCGTTATCGTTGTCTTGCAGGGATGCATCCATGATGGCCATGAGACGGCGCATCCAGGGCCTCACCCCCGAGGAGATACGAAATCTGGACAAGAACGACCTTGAGATGCCGACAACGATGGCCGACTTTAAACTGGCATTAACAAAGGTCTCCAAGTCGGTATCAAAGGACGACCTTGAGAAACACGAAAAGTGGATGAAGGAGTTTGGGGCATCTTGAGTCAGGTGTACTTGCAATGATTCCTTCAATGGTGCGTGATGAGTCTAGGGCAACTATACAACGGTAGTCAGAGTGGTGACAGTGGATTGTCCTGACATCCGGTTAGTGAAATTTAGGTGCATTTTGGTAATTTACTGTCTTTTAGGTAATAGTTGCAACTAAATATAAATTGATATTTATTGATGGACTGTCATTAGTTATATCAGTAAGTACTCACCTCACTGAGCAAGTAATAATGAGGCCAGAAGGTTGTCACTGTATCTATTTAACACTGTTTCCCTGCACTAGGTATCAAACGAGTGAGAAGTAACACACCGTACTTCCTGGTGTAATAACTAGGAATATTTATAATGTATTATGACACCGGTCTCTATGCACTTCATCTCATTGTATTTTTGTAACTGCATTAATTTATTTCTAATGCAAGGGACGAAGAATGAGTTGAACTCGAATTGTGGCGACTGTATCCTGTGCAGGCATAACTCATGCATACATGGCATGTCCTAGTAAACATTCACAGCACACACGCCCACATGTATGTACATGTCTTGATGAAGTCAGCAGTGAATAAAAACACATTTGTTTTTATTCACTCCTGATTAAATGAACCCTGCTCAAAATAAGTTAGCTTACCTGCCATACTTGTGGTCAGAGCTTGATTCGGTGACAACCTGTGCTTATATATGTGTTATTATACAGGTACGCAATAAGTACCCATGTTGTTATGTTATGCAGTCCTAAAAATGTTTATCAAATGTATGAAAATGAGAATAGTTTGCTATATTCATGTTTATTCATTAGATCACACGAATTTATCCTTCTGTACTATATAACTTAAGGTAAATCTTCTTAAAACTACTCCCGTACTAGAACCCCCTAGTTTGTATGCCCTGCTCTGTAGGCTCGACTTAAAACAACTATAGCTTAAACTTCCAGTTATAAACAGCAATAACTGCCACCAAGGTATCTGTGTAAATCGTCTGCAACCTGCAGCCTGTCAGAGCTTTTGTCTAGTTTTTTATATATGGAAAACTTCATATAAAGTTTAATATCAGTCATGTGAATAAAGTGACATGGTTAAAGCATCGAGACTACAAGGAGAGCCTGTGTATCCAATTCTCGAATATGTAAAATGAAACGAGTAATCTATTTGTTACTCATGGTACACATCTGCATTCCTAGACACAAACACTAAACAGCAGATTTTATTACAAACGTACCTTAAACAGTAGCTTTATTTACACATTGTACATTTTTATATAAATTTGATTGTGATATTACTGAATCATTAATTTCATTGATTTCCATACTTTGTAAATTAAAACATACATTATTAAGAACAGTGATGCTGACGTATACTAAACAGCATGCAAACATAACATAATCTGATGCATTCAGAAGAATCACCGTTCTTTATTCAAAAAGAATGCAGTAGCAATAAACAATAACAATATCTAGTTATCCTAGGTTAACCAGTGTCATTCATAACAATCAGACTAGTTTCCAGTATAACCAGGTTGCACGTGAAAACAGATCTTGCTCATAGACCCTGTCACAAGCTCTGTCCTCTTCACAGCTAAAGCTTCAGGTGTGGAATAGTAAATACAGTTACAAGTGAATAAGGACTCGTGAGCAATATGTGCAGATGCAAGAAAATTCACGTGCATTTACACACACATTGTCATTTCAATGTGAATACGTGCTGAAACGACAGCACGGAATGTGCCCTAACAATGAATTCTACAATTTCCTTGCACGTACCGGCCCAAGTTTGCTTTCTTAGTGAAGAATAGTCACGTTTCCTCAATTAGAAAAGTGATCACGCGATATTGCTCGCTCCATCCAACCAGACCAATTTCCTAGGTAAAAGTATCTGCTCGTATTCAATATCCCCATCTGTGTTCATATCAAATTCAATTCAACCGTAGAAAAATATAGAAATCCTCGTCACGAACGCCACAATGTCAGGGATGAATCTCTCCATATCTAGTTATTATCAAAGGAAGGCAAGCGGATAGTAACAACAAGTAACAGAGGAAACAGTTCACTGGTCTACATTGCTGGGCACCTCGATTTAGTTCGTACACGTGTAAGAGCTGGGTGGATTCACGACTACATCTTATCGCTTACATAGAAGTGATTAAAGTAAGTAATGTGTAAACAGTAGTACACGACATAACGAGTAAACGACTTGGAACCTGCACAAGCTGAAGCTATGTAACTTATGCATACACGTATTCACATGATTTTTACGTGCAAGTTAATTAAGAATCGGTGCTGATCACATGTCGACCGACTTACGCTTTACAGACGTGTGGGAAGGCAATTCAGTGTAAGGCATAAGCAACAGATACATGCCCTGTGCCATTCGGTGGGGGTCAAACACAAAGGTCGTGCAGGTTCAACGTCAAGGTTTCGCGTTCATGGTATTATTGCCCAATATACAGAACGAGATGAACATTAAGCTCCTTGATAGCACTAATATTATTACGGTTACATTCGAGTTTTCAATTGAGAGATTAAATATATAGAATTTACAGGCGCGCCTGCGTAGATATTCATTCACTAGCGCGCACTTGCACGCGGATCCGCGTGGCTATGACATGCAGCTTTATTATAGTAACCACTATTAGATTACGCTTGATATTGTTTGGATGACACAAATAGCAATCCTACATATCCGTTTGCAACGTCCGAATTTTCATTTGCGATGCCTATGATCGGAACCTACAGGATGACATTTGTGGGGAATGTGCTTCGAGGAGAGGTAGAACAGGGTGAGATAAATATAACACTGCAGCTGGACTCCATAACGTCACCCCAGGGGGCGCTACACGATAATGCTTCTGCGACATGTCGGAGATAATTAAGGAGCGCACGCGCGCGTGCACGCACACAGACGCACACGCACGCACGCACGCACCCACGCACACACACACACACACACACCTGCTGATTGAATCTTGCTGACATTTACTGCATCATATACCTTGTAGCTATGTTGTAAGAATGGAGACAGCACTGATGAAGGTAGCTATTTCAGTTCATTCTGATACGGAACGACAGATGATATGACCGAAATATTCGCCACAATAGGGCATGCAGTGACACTGGAATTGTGAGAAACAACCATAGAAATATAGAGAGACACATAGAGTCTAACTAGTATATTATTTCTATGGAAACAACCAAAGGGGAACAATCGCTAATTGACGTGTTGTGTTGTGGAGTACGATTTTGCGCCGCAGTGTAATGTAGTGCTTATATAATGTATCGCCCCACATGTTTGTTCAGCTCAGCAATATTCTATGGAATGAACCCATCAAGCTTAACACAGTGGACATAGGTGGCAGAAAAAAATGACACTAGCAAGCCCAGTCTTTTTATACTGCCCACATTGGCGCTGCTCAGGGGTGCTACCGGAGGGTGGGGGCGTTGAGCGCGTTTTTTGGGGGAGCGGATGGGCATCAATAGTCTTTCTCGCAGGGAAAAAATCAGTAACTAGTCGGGGAACGATTTTTGAAGAAATTTAGCAGTCACTCTGCAGTGTAGTAGTGCTGAGCTCTAATCGCAATAACTCTCGAAAACAATCGGCAGGAGGAAGGAATGATTGATCTGTAGAGAGAAACGTGCATGCGTGCGTGCGCACGTACATACATACACGTCTTGTGTGTGTGTGTGTGTGTGTGTGTGTGTGTGTGTGCGTGCGTGCGTGCGTGCGTGCGTGCGTGCGCACGTACATACATACACGTCTTGTGTGTGTGTGTGTGTGTGTG